TTTTATTAATATTTTGTCATCACAAGAAAATGCATACTTATGTCTAAAAAATATAGCGTATTTAATACAAACAATCAATTCAAGTGATCGAAAGGAAAAACATATAAAAAATATTCAATCAAATAAATACAATTCATTAAATACAAGTTAAATTGAATATAACCAGTTCAAATACATTCTATGTACACAAACATGATAGGAAAAAATGCAAATTTAGGTTCTAATTAATTAAAAATTTGATCAGAATGTGAAAATTTATAATAGATGTGATAATTTGTTGAAAAATTATAGACAAATTTAAAAAAATTAAAAGAGTTAAGGTTTTGGTAAAAAATGTGAGGGAGAGAGTAAGATAAAGTAAAAAAAAAAAATTCAAATTTATTGTGATTTACCCTTGTTTGGTGGGATTAAAATCAAATTTTTAATATATTTTGATAAAAGTTAAAAAGTTAAGATTTTTATGAAATATGTTATTAAAATTAACCGTTAACTTTGATTTAGATTAAAATTTAGATTTCAATCGATACCAAATATGACTTATCCTCCAAAAAAAAAAAACAAAAAAACAAAAAATACTCGAAAGTTATGGACCACCTGGGACTCCTCTTAGATCCGCCAATGCCCCGAGATAATTTGAGAACCCTTAATATGAAAAGCCCTCCATATACACATAATTATGTAAAAACTCGCTCAATTATCCACAATTTATTAATATTAAGAGCGTGAATAATTATGTCAAATATTTTTAGTGAAAATTACATGGATTAAATGTTTTCAAGATCTCAATTTATATTTAAGGATGATAAGTTTTTCTTTCAAAAAATCTCTTATTTCTCTCTCACTACACAGATACAGCCATGTACCCCTTTCTCTTTCCCAGTCTCCTCTCTCTCTATATACAATGGCTGAGCAGCGGCGATGAGCATGTTCAGAGAGATGACGACGAGTGTCGTGCATAGAGCAACAGCTACAAGTGTCGCTCACCCAGCGTGGCACTGATACGTGCACTCTCCTCGGAGCGGCTATGGGTGGTGTGTGTTTCCTGTGTGAGACCAAGTGAACGTCGCGCCATCGCAAGTGAGATCACGATTGGTTTGACTAGCTAACTCTTGCCTCTTGTTCCTTTCCTAATTCAGCCCCCTCGACCGCCGATTGAGATTTGTTGTGCGCCGTGGCTGGGACTATCTGGGTGGGTATTTTTAGTTATGTTTTCAATTGGTGGGTAGGGGCTTTGGTGGTGTTTGGGTGACGGTGTCTTTGTTGGATCTAGCGGTGACAGAGGTTATGTTGTATTTGGCGGTGGCTGTGTTTTTTTTGTGGCGGTGGCCGTGTATCTTGTTGCTGGCGTTGGTGGATTTGAAGTTCAAAATGGTTGTTTGTAGGCGATGGCAGCATTGATTTGTGTGAGATGGTAATGTTGTTGTCAGGAGGTAGTGATGGTTCTGCCAACACTGCTACTGCAGGCAGAGGTGATATGGCGGTTATAAATGTTGATGGTGACGACAAATTATTTAATTAATTATAATAAATAATTTTGTTAATATGTGACAAATGAAATAAATAAATTGTGGCAAAAATAATGTCATCTAAAAAAATTTTAATTTGTGATCGATAATTTGGTTGTAATTTATAAATTTTTTAATTTATGACCTATAAAATTTTTTAATTGTAATTGTAAAATAATCTGTAGCATAAAAATTCTGATTTATGACTGAAAAATAATATGTAACTAATTAAATTGTTAATTTGTGATCAAATTATATAGATTTGTGACCTTAATATACATAATTAATAAAATATATAATTAATTAATTAAATCATAAATCAATTTTAATAAATATCTGAGTTTTGGAGCATTCCCTCACGCTTGGCGCCAATGAGGTTTTTTTTTATTTGAGAGAAAAAAGAAGACTGTGCCTAGAAATTTCAGGACTTGGAGAAAACTTTGTAATCCCCCTGTCTTCCCCCACTTCCTCGGTTTCATTACAAGATGATTCTTTCATGGGTGGGCGTGTGATACGAGTTATTTCCTCCCCCTTTCTTTCCTCGTTTGAACCTCGCCCTTTCTCTAATTCCAACCGGAGCGATGTTGGGAACTTGCACTCCTGATAACAAAAGCTGGATTCTTCCTCCTCTGCCCATGAATCCCTTCTCTCTCTTTCTATTCCAATAGTCTTATGCGGTCCTCGAAAGAAGAGCTTTCTCCCCCCCGGAGGCTTTGAGTGAGTCTAAAAGGAGAAAAAGAAAGAGCTGCCATTAGTACAACCATACTGAGATACCGCCCGTACATATAAGAATATAGTAGACAATAACGGGGGGTGTCCGCCCCACAATTCCTAAATCCTATTCTGAAACATTTGTTCTTATTTTTGAAATAGATCATACTTAACCTCTTAATTATGAATTTTTCCCATACATTCATCAATAGTTTTCTACAGGGGCATGGAAAATGGGTTGTGGGTCATTCGACCGTAGACGACAAATCAATTTTGGTTCTATATTTTTCTTTATTATTTTCATATGTACATGAAACAGTAACAACTATTTCCTATAATAATATTGAATATCACGAACTTTTATATATATAAAAAAGTCAAATAATATCAAGTCTGAAAGAAGCACTATTTAATTTCTCAAAACATAAACTTATAATGAAAATGAACAGGGGAAAGCTAAAGAAACGAGGTGGAGATCATAGTAAAAAAATTTTAAATAACGTAGAAGATAGTTAGAAATGATATGGTGGGTTGTTTGGTAAAAACATGTTTTCTAAACTTGTCGCAATTTTTAATAAGAGACACAAAATTAATACATAAAATTTTTGCAGTTCACCTCATGTCATCGGTCAACCTTTTTTCGTGAATCAATGTTTTGTTCAGTTCATTTAGAGAACGAGTAGATTAACTGATCGATTAATCAGCCAATTCAAATCAGGCTTAACAATAATGAATTAGAGGTGTATGTTTTCTATGACGAAAATAATTTATTATATTGGATTCAGAATTCAATATTATTAAGAGCTGTTATTAGTGGGCAAGTATTAAAGGGTAAAATGTTATTATAATGACGCATATGAACGATTTAGCTGCAATAGGCATTACTCATAATAATTGACCTAGATTTCTTTTCATGTTTTCAAAATGAAGTTCGACATTTTGTTATTTATATCATATTGTTGTGTCTTCACAAGTGTGTAGGGTAAAATGTTATTATAATGACGCATATGAACGATTTAGCTGCAATAGGCATTACTCATAATAATTGACCTAGATTTCTTTTCATGTTTTCAAAATGAAGTTCGACATTTTGTTATTTATATCATATTGTTGTGTCTTCACAAGTGTGTAGGGTAAAATGTTATTATAATGACGCATATGAACGATTTAGCTGCAATAGGCATTACTCATAATAATTGACCTAGATTTCTTTTCATGTTTTCAAAATGAAGTTCGACATTTTGTTATTTATATCATATTGTTGTGTCTTCACAAGTGTGTAGGGTAAAATGTTATTATAATGACGCATATGAACGATTTAGCTGCAATAGGCATTACTCATAATAATTGACCTAGATTTCTTTTCATGTTTTCAAAATGAAGTTCGACATTTTGTTATTTATATCATATTGTTGTGTCTTCACAAGTGTGTGAGTATCTCGAGTTGGTCACAGCAATACAAACTTCCAAGTAAGACACGAGTACATTTGGATTCCAATGGATAAGAAAATGTTAATTTATTTTTGCTTAAAAAGCATTGAATACTTAACTTTACTTGCTTGACAAAATAAATTATGCTACTCTTGTGTGGGTTATGAGTATCTCTTTGAGATATAAAAGAGTGACATTATTGATGCATCATTATCTCGAGACATAAAATTTGTGAATATTGGGAACATATGGTTAACAGGATATGAATCTATAACTTTCACAGGAGAGTTGAATATCTCTTATAAGAATTTTAATCTAATCACTCAAGAATTTACTACATTATCATATTTGTATTGATTATTTCATTAATGGAAAAAGTCACTTAATGTTACAGATGTGAGTCGAGGGTTAAAATGTGTTGGGCCACAATAGTGGACTAACATAAAAATAAACGAAATGGAAATTTTCGTAATTTTGCAAGACTTGAAGGCTATATTTGCAAATTATGACTAAATAAACCAACCTTTTTGCCTTTTCCATACTCAACCTCAAACTCTAAGCCTAGCCAATCAGTTAACTAGAGGAAGAGAAGTCATCAAACCTTAATATTTCAGCGGTCCGTGGTCCGATTAACTCTTGATGTCGAACAAAAGATTCAGAACCATTGACTTTCAAATCCACAAGTTTAAATCAAGATGCCTTTGTTTAGTTGAGAGATATAACCTTCTAAACATTGACAAAATTTGGTGGAATAATTCTTCGTTGAATTTAATTTGGTATCTCCATGAATTCATCATTGAAATTTTTTAACCGTTGGATGCCTCGATTTAATACTTGGGCCAAATCTTTTGTTGTTGTGTTAAACGAGATTCCATCTTTTATGGATGACTAGTTTTGTGGCCATGCAATGCATGGCTTGACTTTTATTGAAGGTAATATTAGTGCGTTGAGCATGAAGAGTTCAAGAGAAAGATATGCGATGAACGAGCTTTTGAGAAGCAAAGAGAATATTTAACTGGTGTGTAAGGAAATCAAACAAAAACAAGACAGACAAAGAGCTAACCTATGAAAAAAACGTAGGGAAAATATGTTACCATTGAACATGAAATATCGAAAATAGTTCAAAACAGGAAACTAAAATAATAAGGAAACAAATGGGAAATGCAAACATGACAAGTAGGAAAGAATTTAAAGAATATAAAAAAGTCCTATTCGTTAGCTTTCTTTTTCCATTTAGGTATATAGGGAAAAAAAACTGATAAAGTGGTAGTGTAATAAGCTGCTAAGAATATGGGAGGGAAACTTTCAGTAATCATTTCAATCTTTCGATACCAAATTCAAAAAATATATATATAATAAATAAAAAATGCTTCAACTGAATATTTAATTGAATCCAAAAATTTGAAATTGTTGATTTACTACAAAAGGCAAACTGTGTACCTTTACGGAAGGATCAAGTTTTCTAAATACTATTTCTGTAAATGCAATTGGAGCCACAGTCCTATCCTCCTTTGCTAAGAATGGGCTTCCACTTCCATTTCAACGGGAAGGGAAGTTTTCTAAATATTTGCTACCTGTGAGAATAGGAAATAAGAAACGGCTAACATAAACGAGAGATTCATTAATCAAAATGCCCGTATGTGACTTGACATGAAGAAAAATGTTCCTTTAATTTTAACAAACAATAAAAAATACAAGCCTCACCAGGAAAAACACAAGCAAAACCATCAGCCTTTTCTATTAGCTCATCAATAGGCAAAGCAACAAAAGTCTCATCTTTCTCATGCCCTAATAATGCCGATGATGGATACATGTTGGTTTCCATCCCCAGACAACGTCACGTTTCTTTTCCTATTGCTAACTGATCACCTAGCAGAGATTGAATACAGCTGTTGAGACATAAAAATATATAGATTAGGGTAACTCTCATTTAAAATTGGAATAAGATTTCAGCATATAGCTGAATGCTATACATAAGCGTTTCTACTTAAGAAGTGTGAAATTTGTCGTCCAACAAACAAGGTATATGAAAGAAATTGCTTTTGCTAAATTGCTGTTAGCTTAGCATGTTGACACATTTTGTGAAACAAAATCAATTTTCATTAAGTTTTTAAAGTTTCAGGATGGCAGTATTGAATCACAAGCATCGTTGGGAATCCAGGTGCAGAACTTCTTAAAGTATATGCTTGAGGTCGACATTTCTCGGAAAAACTAACTCTACAATTTTCAATTAATATAGGCATTTAAAAGGCTTAATATTGTACGAGTTTAATACTTTAATTTGCCTAAAATTAGAAGACTTCTTCAGAAAATTCGAAAACTAATAACTGGAACCATGAATGTGAGAAGACATTACTATTCAACATTGCAAGATGCACTAATGAAGGAGTGGATAAGCACATTTTGGCATGGAAAACAACTGCACCCTATTGCAATTAATAATAACAGTAAAATCTAATTAAATCCATATGAATGATATGACAATGATATTCACATGGAGGCCAATTAGAGATGGCAATTTGAACCGTCAAAATCGAAAATCGCGGTTAACCGAACCGATTTGGGGGGAAAAAAACGAACCGATGGTGCAATGGAGCGGATATGGTTTTGATTTTCATGAACCGATTTGTATTGGTGCGGATATGGTATTTACGTCGTAAAATCGAAATCAAACCGATTACCCGCTAAAAAAAATCAGAAAAAAAACAATTGAATTGATCATGGGCTTTACACTACTTTTCTATCCAGACCAAAACAAAATCCCTCCCCTCCTCATTACATCTACCTGACTAATTCGGCCAGCCCACTTACCATTAGCCCATAACAGTATTAGTATGACAGTACATAAATGCAAACCCTCCTCTCCACAAACCACAAACTCACGCACGACTCCACTGCCTCTACGGTCCAAGTCGTCGTCGCCTCCGAAAATTTGTTACATTTGTTAGGCATTCTATTACTGCTGATCATTTAAAAACAGAGTTCGATGTTTTTCTAGACGCGCCAGTATTGCCAAGGATGAATAGGAATCAACTTTGAATGCTGATCTATACTAGTAAGACTTGTAGGGAAAAATGAATCAAATAACTTCGATGCACAACAATTAAGAATGAAAGAAAAGTTTAATATTATTATATTTATAATATTGTTTGTTAAATTTGTATTTTACAATTGAAAATTAGGATAATGTTTGCATTTACGTTTGGAATATTATTTGATAATGTTTGCATTTTCGTTTGGAATATTGTGTTTTTGTTTTCATTGACTTTTTTCATAAATTGTTTTATATCAATTTCACGGATGAACCTATAAAAAATAATTTATTTTCGTGGTTATTAACCGAATGGAACCGTGCCGTGCCGAACCGAACCGATTTACGTGGTTATGGTGCGACTATGGTATGGTTAAAAAATTGTTGGTGCAGTTATGATTTTCGCCGAACCGACCCATAACCGAACCGTTGCCAACCCTAAGGCCAATAGTGAGACCGGCTACATACCAAGCCAAAATTTCCATCAAATGAACTCATAAAAACATGCATAACTTTCTCCAAATTTTTGCATGTGCGTGAAGATAAAGATAGGCACCTATCACAGTTCCAACAACCCTTCGTGATGAAGAAGACCTCTTCTTGATTTACACAAGACAGATGATACGCTTTGGGGCAACCCCTGGAAACCAATGCAAGGCACAAATATTGATAAGCATTACGAACACAAATAGTCAAGAATATATAATTTAGAATACTGGTTTTATTACTTTTTCAACTTAGAATTCTGAAGGTTGAACACATTTTTTAGAACTTATTGGCGATCACATAGCACAAGGTGCCCCAGCATCAAAACAACTTTCCTCTCCTACCTTCTTTCTAACTGAAGCTTTTGGTGTGGCCTTACACCTCAAAAGGAATTTTTGAATTCCTCGCCCTAATCCAACTTCTATCTTTGTAGCTTTATCAAGATGGTATGTAAACACCGTATTCACTATGTATGGTTGATCATCTCCAAATATAGGATCACAAATATTGTACCTTCAAAAAAATATTTCTTGGTTATATTTCAGATTTGTATTTACCAGTTTGTCTTAATAAGAAATTAAAATTCAAAAAGATTAGTAAACAACTGAAAGATATAAAGATAAATAATAGTTCAGATGTACACAAAATAATAGTATTAATTTAAAGTTAGTAGATGCTCCTACTATATATGTATTCAAAGTCTACATATTCCTTGAGTTTATGTAACGATACTATAATCGATAATTTGATTTTTGTTCTCAACAATTGAATTTCCTTCTGCAAGGAAGTAACATTAGTGTGAAATTTTGATTATTATTATTTTTTTAAACACTTTAAAATACAATTTAAAGCCAAATTACATATCAAGTATAAATCATAAGGTTCACGTTCCATCAAAACAAATATGTGGTTGGAATGTTAGCTATAAATGATTCTCTAATAATTTCCTCGATTCTTTTTTACTTTGCTCTTCCTGACTTCGTATGGCTTGTGCTGAGCTTATGATATATACATTTTTCCAGAAAGAAAACATTTGTTTAAGCTAAAAAAGTTCACTTATAAGTAAATAAGTTTCAAAATAAGATTTTTCTTTATTCAACAAAATTTGAAATGAGTATGTTAATTTTGAAAGCACGGTAACAGTTACTTTCAAAATAAGTATTTTTTTTTTTTTTTTAATGATTTCAAAGTATTTTATCTTAACATGTTTGGAAACAAGCAACTTTCTCCTTTATGGCCATGCTATACCTGAATATCATCACCACCTAGTAAATCCAATTTGTATATAATTCAAATGAAGTATTGAGACCATTTGACAAACTGGATATTCCAACCTAAGAATGCATGCTGCATCCAACATCATATTGGATAATTTTGCAGCACATATTACAATATTAGAGTGTTTATTTAACTTAAGTTGCTTCAGGTCTTCAATGGTTATAAGTTGAACTAAGATTTCCGTTGAAGTAGAATAGTTTCTTCTGCTCCTCGTTAGACCTACACAAGTAATATCCTTTTACTATAACCAATTAACGGTCTTACTATAATCAATTAACGGTAAACGAAAACAAGAATTAACCATATAATCACAACAGCACAAGTAGGAGTCAATCCATTAATGCATAATGATTGATCCGGGTACCAGGCCCAAACTTTAGCATTCAAGGAACCTTCATCAGGCCACACCTTTTTTCTCGGAAGTATTTTGTCGAAAAAAAGTTATATAAATCCTATAGTAGTCTTGAAACAATTGAATTTAGGTAATAATGCACACTTTTTCAGGACGCTAGGAAATAGTCAAAAAGTTGTGTAAGAATATACAAGACGACCCCCAATATCATATAAAAATCCATTTAAACAGAGCTCTACACTGCTATGTCAGTGCTTTGCTTTACAGCAACACACTGATTCAATGCATCTAAAGCCTATACTTGAACTCAATAATTCAACATTACCAGATCTATACCTCGATTTTGGATAATTGAGGAGAATCGATAATAAAAAAATAACAATAATAATAATAATAAATAGAGGTAATATGCAGGGTCATGCCATGTGGAAGGCAATCTATTGAATGAAAAAGGATGGATTGATGAACCAATAAACATTATAATCCCATACCTTGAAATACTGGATGTCAAAAGATGACACGGCAGGCTTGCTTTGTCCGATGAAGAGGACAACCATTAAGTTGAGTGTATTTCTCCACAGCATCAACAGATGCCAATGTTGAGGGTATCTGAAATTATACAAATATATGAAGCCCGTGAGATTTGTAGGAAAGAATTTTTAATAGCTAAACTATAAGACATGGTAATACCATTTAACCGTGCAAAAACTCTATATCACTAAAAGTATGACCTTTCGCTTTTTCCTTAGATGTGAAAGAGCAGCATTAAAGTCTGAAAGCTTGGAAATGATATTATTTGATATTCCAGGACGGACCTTTTCCCCATCTGGACCCATGTCATCATCCCCAGCAGTTGCAAACAAAATAGAGTTATATAAATCAGCAAACACAGTAAATAGAATTACTCTACTTGTAGAGAAGTCAAGTACCTCTTTTCCCATTGCTTAAGACAGCATTATTAACTGCATTTGGTGCTGCTACTGACATGGGTATCTGTCCTTTTACCTGTGCTAGTAATGCCACTGCCTCGTCCCTTTTCTTAGCCTTGTAACAACATTACATATGTACAATCCATAAACAAATATTTATAACCTCTTCAAAATTGAAATTGGAAATATTTGTTTATTCGTAGCTTAACCAATAGGATAATTTGTCTTACAAATACACATGTCCTGCTCCATTATGTATAGTTTATCTCATTCACACTTGCAATTGAATCCACCTCACTTGTTCTCAAAACTACATCCAGCACATTGACAGGGGCAAATACAATGCACAATTTTTTTATTCCTCAAAAAATCATGAAAAATAACATAACCCAATTTAAGTAATTTCTTACTTTCCCTGAATAAATTAAGAAATAAAATTGTGTTTAATGCATCAACTAAAAAAATCACAAAATCAAATAAAATAGAGCTGATAAATAAAGATTTCACAGAACTACCAAAACCGGAGATTATTTATGTTTCCAGTTATTGTAACTTACTCGAGGAGGTATTTACGCACGAGCATGTCTAGGGAAGTCTGAAGCTCAATCGAGTACAGAAAGAGCTCTGCGTCGTGAGAAGGCTGTAAAGATAGTAGTATGCTCGTCACTTGCTTCAAGGAGGACAACTTTACAGCCGAATCTCCATGGTTCTTCGTCGAAGTGAAGAGAGGAAACGCGTGCTCCTGCGCGGGTCAAGCCATGGAATAAGTGAGGCCTTCTACGTAACTAAATTCGACTTACCTGGATGAGGGAGATTCAGGGATGACGGCCTACAAATAGCTTTGGAAGATTGAAGATTGAAAACTATCAAAGAAGAAATGGAGAAAACACTGCAAGGGTTTGCGTGATAAATGAATTCAAAAGTAATAAGAAATATCTACGAAAAAGTGAAGAGAGAATGTTTTAGCCCTAATAAGCAGTACGAACCAGTTACACTTTCGAGTTCCATTTCTTCATCCTGGGTGTTTGAAACAAGAATTTTTCCTCAGCCATGAGAGAAAAACGGTAAGTGAAAGAGAAGGGAAGCAGTAAAAGATTGAAATGCGTGACAGAAGTGAACCATTAAACCTTTTACAAAAGAAGATATTTAATTAACACTAGAAAATCCGTTCTTGAACAATAGAATCTGGATAGGTGTGAAACTTAGGTCTCATGAATGAACAGTGATGGGCTCATCCTCTCTTTTAGCCCCCATTTTCTGGTAATCAAAATGAATGGAATAATATTTTTTTTTAAATGAACAGTTGAAAAAGAAGGAAAATATTTCGATTTATGTGTAATATTATTTTATAGAAAATTGTGTAGTTAAAATATGAGAAAGAAAAATAAAATGTAATAAAATGAAGTTTAATGGGAGCCAAACGAGGGCTTCATTAGTGTAGTGATTTATTGTTTGTGTGCCAAGATTTTATGTCCTTGATAGTGTTCATTAAAAAGAGCATTGAATTCCCATGGTTGATTTTTACCCTTTGGTTGACAAAGGTTTTTCCACGTAAAAGAAATCTTGTGCGGATTGTGTTTATTATCAACATGCAATAACATGTTTAGATAGAGTTTATTACGTGATTTAAACAAGAAGAGAAAGACAAATTTCCACTCTTTTCACTTAAAACCAAGACTATATCAAAATCTAGCCGACTTGAAATTTTTATTGTTACTTTCCAAAAAGATACAATTAATAATATAGGCTCAAAACAACATCATATCCCTGCACACTAACGTCTCATCATCTAGCTGAGATTGAATTTTCAAATAAAACAAGACGAACTTTTTCCAATCATAAAATTAGAAACATACAACTATGACTACCTCCAAATTTTTACTCTTGAAAAATACATCTCAAGTCCATCAACAAAGAGGAAAAATTTCACTAAATTATGTCACTATTTAGATGGCAATATCACATAAATGAATGACTGTAACCATACAAAATTGAAGACTAATGTGTTGTGCAAATGTCTCCAAATTTCAAGTAGATTGGACCACGATTCACTGAGTACCGAGGTTTGATCAAACTGTGCCAACTGTGATTTTGGTTCTCTAGTTTTGCCAGTGGTGCTTTATTTATGGGTGAATTTGAACTCCAAATCACTCTTACCAAATGGAAGACAAATAAAGTTATGGTTCTTAAATCATGTTAGCCTAAATTACCTATGTAACCCTTCACGTCTTGCAGAATATCAAAAGTACCATTCATTATAAATTATTATTTCCCACTAATACTTTTTATCCCAACAAATAAACAATTTTCATTAAACTCCATTGCCAACCAAACAAAAGTTGTATTGAATGCAGAGATTAAACTAATCTGTCTCTCCCTGTTATGACTCAGCATTTCAACTTATGCCAATCTCCCTGCCAACTTATCTAGCTGCACAAAAGAAAAAGGAAATCACAACTATCTATTTCTCCTTTTTTCCAACAAGAATGAGTCAAAAAAGGGAGATATCGAAACTGAGGAAGTCAGACAAGAGTAGAAGCGAGCCAGGTGATCTAGCTGTTCTGTGTATTGGCTTCTCTTGCCCTGGCTTGTTCAACCCGCACCTCTGTCTCGAATAGCCTATCCCCCATATTCTCATTTGTCACTGCATTCTCATTGTCCATGGGTCAGGTCCGAGCTTGGATTTTAGATGTTTCATTTCTCAAGGGCAATCGACTGCAGCCATAGCTCATGGTTTTTGGGCATTTTAGTAGGCAACTGGTTGGCAAAAAAAGCCTAGAACCTCCTGCACCTTAGAAAATGATATGAGCATGTGTTGAGCACCTTCAAGAGGATTTCTATTTTTAAAGAGAATATTTTATAATTTATAAAGCATCTATAAATTTAAAGAATAAAAATTTTTTAAGTACTCCAACAGACTTCTGATCTTTTAACTTCTAATTTTACTACTTCAAAAATATATGAGCTTTGACTTATACTCTGTACATCAGTAGAACGTAGACTCTTGGAAAAAATCGAGTGTACAGACAGATTTTTGACAGAATTTTTACAGAACTGATTAGCAGATTTCCTTTTTTCTTTTTCAACTGCAAATGAAAACTTGATAAATATAAATCTGTTAATATTCTAGCAAAAAGAATTTGTACTCTTATAAATGGTCACTTCAAAATCTTCATTGCCGTAATCCCATTGTTCTTCACGAACTGGCAAAGCTGAACTTTAGAAATTTTTGCACAATAATATATCTTGATCTCGTTATTGTTTAAATATAGCTAAATTCATAAGGAATCTTCTCTAGTTTTTTGCAAAATCTGAACATAGGTCGTTCAAGTACATGGAAATGACATTTAAGGAATCTCATTGTCCAAGATCTGACACAATAATTCAAGGAATTTTAGCTTTGGGAGCTCATTATCCTACGTTCCAGATTTTCCCTCAAAGACTTCCAACTCTAATTTCAGAATCTTAAGTTTGGCGCCTTAATGTTGTCCCAATAATCAAAATATTAGCGCGGAGAATTTTCTACAATGCACTAACCACTAAATGCAAATCCGAAGGAGGATAGCATGCATGCCTTATTTCTTTGTTTGAAAGCAAGGGCAGTATGGAATGAGTTAGATGGGTGGGAAACTATCAAGGGCTGTTTGACTCCACTGACAATGGTGAGATGTGCTTAGTCCATAATATAGATCCAATCACTTGTCAAATTAACCATAATGTGGTACAATTTGCAACCGGATCATTATTTATTTTACTTACAATAAAGAAGTTAACTTCACGCTAAGTACAAAGAAAAACAACTAACAATTGACATGGAGCCCGAAATTATTTTCTAATCATGAGGTGTGGGATGTAAAGGAATCTCTTGCAAGGAAATTTAAAAATATTAAAAATGAATAATAAAAATGTTTATTTCAGAAAAAAAAAATGATGGAATGAGCTTTGACTTACACGGTGTACTCCAGTAGAATGAAGTTGTCTTCACGACCAATCGCTTTCGATGGTCACATCAAACTCTGTATTACCATAATCCAGTTGTTCTTGACGAATTTCCAAAGCTGAAGTTTCAACATCTTCACCACAATAAAGTAACTTAATCCTCCGTAGTGTTGAAATGCTACTAAATTCAGAAGGAATATTCTCCAAAAATAAGCATTCTACCAACACCAATCGTTCAAGTACAGGAAAATGATCGTGTGAAGAATTCCACTGTTCAAGGTCTAGCGAATCTAATTTAAGGAATTTGAGTTTCTGGAACTCATCATCCTTCGTATCCCAAGTTTTTCCTGAAAAGGTGTTCGTTTCTAATTTCAAAATCTCGAGGTTGGGCAATGTCCCAATTAATGACATCTCTTCCCAAGGCAAACTAAAGTTAATAAGAGTAAGCTTTTTGATATTCACAGGAAATTTAACCATCGAGTAATCACGTCCTAACAGTCCTCCTGCAATTGTGAGTGTTTGAAGCTGAGAAAAAAAGTTAAGATCAGGAAAGTAATTGTCGATTGGCCTGCATTTAAGCATACGAAGATTAGGTGAACATCTCAGGATTTCTTCGTCTTCCAAATCGACAATCTCAACGAAACCAAGGGTTTGTAGGCAATTTATTCGGAAGCTATCACTGTTCTTAGTGAATCTTGCACCATCATAGTAGACACGGACCCTTAAATGTCTCAACTTAGGCATATTGAGAAGGTATGTCGGTACTTCCTTTATGATCGGCAAACAAAGATATTCAAGGTTATGGAGTTTGCCTATTGATGGCTCTAAATTTGAAATATTCAAGTACCTCATGTCAGGCATAAATTTGATTCCCAGTAGAACATTTTCAACATTGCTTGAATCAACAATCCTAATTTTTTCCAAATTATAAGCAATGGGGAAGGCCTCAAAAATATTCTCAGATGTCAAGACGCGATGAAACTGACCCATATACAAGTGATGGAGACGGCGATGCTTAGATACCAAGAATTGACTAGAGATATAGAATGAGGATCATCATCAGTTTAACCACATCAACCAGCATCAGCAATAGCAGCATCATTGACATAATTACGACAAATTAGTAGGATCAATTGGAAACTGAAGTAAAACACAAAGGAATTAGAAAGAGAGAGAGAGTTAACTTACTGTTGAAATAGAAAATTTTCATCTTCTACAACCATTTTGCTGCACATATCGAGAACAAGATCGTGAAGAGTACATTCTTGTACTCCATTGTCAGATCTTCTTTTGGACACTTGAAGTAGGCTCCTGTTAACAAGTTCCATTAAATACTCCTCTGCTACATCTTCTAAGGTCTTTTGCTCCCTTTTCTCTATGAATCCTTCGACTATCCATAGTAATAATAGCTTCCGAACTGGAATTTCCTCGTCTTCCTGAAATGCACTAAGATAGAGGAAACATGGCTTCAAGTGATCTGGTAAATGGATGTAGCTAAGTTTCAATGTGGGTATGTAGTAGTCGGCTTTTTGGGAAATGTAATAACTTAAACTTTTAGCAACTTGTTGCCATAAGCTTTCTTTTTTCTCCATATTTGAAAGAATTCCAGCTATCAAAACTACTGAAAGTGGTAATCCCTTACAATTTGCTGCAATTTGCTTTCCAATATCTTGCAGCTGTTGAGGACAACATTCTTTTTTGAACACCTTCTGCTCTAATAATTTCCAACTTTCGTCTGGTGACAGGGGAGGAGGTTCAATGATAACATGAGAAATTTCCGATGCCACATTTTTCAGCCGACTGGTAAACAATACTCTACTTCCATTTGTGTCGTCTGGGAATAACACTTTCAAATCATCCCATACTTCTTTATCCCATAGATCGTCCATAATAATGAGGTATCTTCTACCCTTTAAATTTTTGTAAAGATGTTCGGCCAACTCTTCATCTTCCTTTTTTAACATAGTTTCTTTGTCAAGGTCTCGTGAGGAGCTCAAAATGTCAATCAACAGCTTTCTCTTATTATAAGTTTGAGAAACGGCACACCAAGAAAGCTTATCAAAATAGTACCGAACACTGGGATCATTGTATATTTTCTTTGCTGAGGTTGTCTTGCCAAGTCCACCCATTCCAACGATGGAAATAATCTGGCGGTAGTTTCGTCCTCCAACAAGCTTGCTCACAATTTGTGTTGTCGTGTCCTCTAAGCCCACAACGATCTCTTCTACCATGGGAGTGCTGTTACCTTGGTATGATGATACTTCACTTGGACTTTCTGCAACTTGTGGGCTTCCAATTCCAACTTCACTTGACACTGCAATACTGTAATATTTAATCTTCACTAGCACATTCTCAATCCTTTCTAACAGACCAAAAATTGCAAGATCCATTTTGGGGGTGGTAACAAGATCTGTGGTGAAAAAGAATGAATGCAAGAACAGTCCTGCTTCATTAAATACAGCTTCAATTTCTGTGAATATACTCGTCTTCCGTTCATAGCTTGGACTTGGATAAACAAGAAAGGCGAACAGAAAATTCAACCCCTTCTGAAGAAATTTGACTTGATTACTCACAAGAACGATGGAATCCTTTTGGCATTTAAGCAATTCTCGAATAGTTTCAAAAAGAAAGTCGATGAAGATTTTCCAACGTTTAATGGAGTTATACGCGATGGATGTTTGAATTGTGAAAAACTTGTTAAGCTTTGGCATGGAAGCGAGAATGGTTTCTAAAAAGTTTTTGTAATGTTCATTATCGTGATGAGAAACGATCTCTTCGTATAAGATGCAATCGGAGGCTGAATCATCAAGACGCTTCAACAGACAATACGGATTGTACATAGTAAGTGGTCCGCAGCGGTCTGGATAGAACCATTGCAATACTTCTTTTACATATTTGAGAAAAGTTAAAAAGTGTGGGCCGAGCCATTGAAAGCTAACATTTTTTTCTCCTCCATCAAGCCTTAAAGCTAGCAAACGAGAAAGGAGATCTGGGCTTTTGACTAGACGAGACAGATTTTCGTAAGAGGGATCCTTCATATTTGATTCGGATGGAAACAAAGAGAGACGCTTTATTTTTGGTTCCAAAAAAGATCCGAACAAAGAGAGATCCTCCATATTTGATTCGGACGCAAACAAAGAGAGATCCTCCATTTTTGGTTTTGGAAAAAGGTCGAGCAAAGAGAGAGCCTCCATATTTGGTTTGGGCAAAAGGCTGAACAAAGAGAGGTCCTCCATATTTTTGGTTTGTGCAAAACGCTGGGCAAAGAGAGAATATTGAGAGTGAATTTGTTTAAAATTTTTTAAAAAAAATAAACCTAAAGCAAAGGTTGAACACATATCAGCAAACATAATAAACGAAGAAAAGGCGTCCCCGGAATAGTCCAGTGGTGTAAAGAATAGGAGTGAGGTTATCTCACGTCTTGTTGACAACTGTAGTGTGAGGGGTTCGATTCTTAAGACATGAAATTGGATTCTTTGTAAGCGCAGTGTACAAACAGCTCTTGTTCCCTAGCCTGTTGGGGCACATTCCGTAATTTATCTCCCTCACAAAGTTTTAGGGAGGGGACGGTGAGGGTTCTCAAAGTTGGGGTTCAACCTTTTTTTTTTAGCCCCTGTTTGAACCCCATTACATTAAATTTCATTACATTTCATTTTTCTCTCTCATATTTTCAACCGCATAATCTTTTATAAAATAATATTATACGTAAATCGAAAACTTTTCATTTTTTTTCAACCATTCATTTTTTTTAAAAAAATATTATTTTATCCATTAATTTTTTCACGTAACGAGGGTCAAACAGGAGCTTAATAAATGGAGAAAGGTCCGTTCTCTCTTTCTCTCACACACATAATTTCATATGCTTTCACATCAACAAAGCAAATGTTGAAAATTTCAGAAAATTTTAAAAAAGTCGTTACTTTTTTCGAGAAAAAATGTGTGTAAAGGAAAAAAAAGGACTTTGAAAGGGTATGTACAGGTCAGAATGAGTCCCATTTGACCCCCATTATATTACATTATATTTTATTTTTCTCTCCTATTTTCAATCATATAATCTTTTATAAAATAATATTATACGTAAATCAAAAAATTTTCTCTTTTTTTCAATCACTTATTTTTCAAAAAAATACTATTCTACTCATTTTCATTATCAAGTAATGGGAATCAAACAGGGGCTGAATATAAGGAGGGTGGGTAATTTTTTTTTTTAAATAATCCCCCACCCTCGCCCCCCTCCCCCCGTCATCCCCTCACATAGCATGTGAGAGGCCTGTACATTAGGCTTTTTTCAAAAAAAAATATTGGACCGATATGCGTGCACAACATCCTCACATCAAGGGGCCCATGCCCATAATAAAAATAACGCGAGCCCAACAGCACAACGAGAGTGCTGTGCAAACAGCTTCATCCAAAAATATTTGTCACCCTCAACTACGGATCTGTCCTTGCTTTAATAATAGCTTTAAGATAATGCATAAGAGATCAGTATAAAACCCTAAGCAAGATGTTTTCCAAATTTAACTTTATAATTTAAATTAATGAAACACACTTTTTTTCCACACAAATTCTATAAACCATGAAAAGGAATTCGAATCATACACAACTAACAACTATCTAATTACATTTGTATTTATTCAACATAAATTTGCATATCAAATGTTCGGATATTCAGACTTCCTATAATTTATTGAGTGACAATAAACTTAAATTTGAACACCTTAGTGCTACATATACTTCATTTGATTATAAAAACATTATATTTTAAATACATTTATATTTTATTTTGAGAAAAGACATTGGTCGACAAATATCAGCGTCCAAAAATTTACTTTTTTAATAAGTCATCTTTGCTTAGACAGATCGGCCATATATGCAATTAGATATAATAACGTACATTAACAGGGGCGGAGGTGCCCCTATAGTAATTTTGAAAATTCAATATTTTGTCCAATGTTTTTCAAGATTTTCAAAGAAGTCCTTGTAGTTTTCAATTTTTGCCTCCACAACTAAATTTTTTTGTAATTTGCCTCCACAAATCTTATCTTCTAGATTAGCCCCGCTAAATTTTAAATGTACTTTGTGAAAACTAATTTTCTCAATCATTTCGTTGCCATCCAAAGAAGAAATCAAATATGGACATTTTGTTCGATTTAATGCAAAATTCAACCATCACATTCTTGGACACCTCGAGCAGAATAAGCAAACAAGAGATTAAGTATGGTGATATCACAAAAATTCTGCTTCTAAAAGTTTTGAATAACGTCGCAAAAAATTCTGAAATGTTAATGATTCATGTAGAAAAGAGTTTAAAAAGAAATGAATTTATGGGTATGTTCTGTAGTGATTTCGAAAATTGATTTTTTGACCGTTATGAGAAAAGTGTAGACCACCTGCGAGAGAAGAAGTCAAAAATTACGGTTGGAATAGTGAAATAACGGTCAAATAATTAATTTTTTTGGGTAAAAAATCACTTCCAAATGGGGTCTATAGCTAAAAGTATTTAGCCCCTATTTGTTTCTCATTCTTTCTCCATTAAAATGAAAATAACATACCATATTTGAATTTCTATCTCTTGTATGGGGTCCGTAACGGTTATATTTTTCATTCTCATTCTTACATAAATGGGAAACAAACGGAAAGTAAAAAACGCTATAAAAATGAATTTTGCAGTTGAGAAGCTTGCATCATGGAAATCCACAAACCTCAATTTATAGTTTTTACTAGGGGCATGTGAAATGGGTTATGGGGTCATTGAACCAAGCCAGAGGAATCAATTTTAGTTTTGTAATTTCTTAATTATTTTCAAATATACATGAAACGGTAACAACTATTACATATAAATGACCTAGATTTCTTTTCATGTTCTAGAAATGAAGTTAAATATATCGTTTTGTATATCATATTGTTGTATCTTCACAAGAATGTGAGTAGCTTAAGTTGATCACAACAGTACAAACTTACAAGTATATTTGGATTTCCACAGCACAAACTTGCAGGTATATTGGGGCAAATGAATCCAAATTTCAAGAAGAAGCATTGAGTTCCGAAGTTTGATCAAATTTCATTTTCGTTCTTTTATGTTGCTCGTGCTTTGTTTGGTGTTGATTTTGAACTCTAAAGCTCACTAACCAATTGAAAGACAAATAAAGTTACGGACTTTAAATCATGTTCGCCTAAATTACCGAAGTATCCCCTCAAGTCTTGTAAACTATAAAAGTGCCAATCCTTCTTAATTTTTATTGTCGACTTATATGTTGCATCACAATAAAACAACAATTTTTCATCCAACCCCATCGATAAATATTCAGCGGAGAGATTATTGAGTTGTTGATCTTAGAGCTTAGGACATCTAATTATTTTTTAAGTTTACGAGCTTCAATTTTCTCATATGCCTTTAATGAAATTAGGGTCTATTTGATTGCGAAGATGGAATTTGGGTAGAAAGAAAATAAATTACAGGGAATTGAATTACCAAGAAATTGTTTTCTTGGGAATTGTAAATTATTGTGTTTGATTGGTATAATTTTTCACGTGGAAAATGTTGAAGTAAAAGTATTTTTGGTATTCATTTGGCTTTGTTTTACATGAAAATTGTCAATTTAAAGGATACATACTTCTACCATTGTTCCTAGAATTTGTTTCCATTGTCAATCAAAAAAAAAAGGAAAAAAAAAGATAAAAAAATCATCTATATTTTGGTGTTCATTTGACTTTGTTTTATATGAAAATTGTCAATTTCAGGGATATTATCTTTTACAGATGTTCATAGAATTTGTTCCCATTGCCAACAATTAAAAAAAAAACAAAAAGGAAAAAAATAATAATAATAAAAAAGATGGAAAACCAAAAATCACCTACTCCTTAGGAAAATAAAAGTTGGAAAATCACGCTTTAAGGTGTTGTACCTAGAAATTCATGGAAAATCAATTCCCTGAAAAATTTGTCAATTAAACAGGCCAAAAATAAAAGTTGAAATTCGAATTTCAAGTTTCATGAAAATTTTCGTGCAATCAAACGGGCATTAATGTCTTACATACTTGTCTAAGTTTGGATCATTGATACTTGAATTACAAGGTTCATTGGATCTTCTGGTAGATACATAATTTAAAGGGAAAATTTCATAAAAAAGAAATTAAGTATGATATATTTCAAAATTAAGAAAACAAGTTTCAAACTTCAAAAATCAGATTTTTATTAAAATGTATTTCTGATTTAATTAATTAATTAATTAATTAAATATATTTAGGTCACATATCTATACAATTTGGTCACAACTTAACAATTTAATGTCACTTATTATTTTTTGATCACAAATAAAAAAATTTATGTCAAAAATTATTTTACGATCACAATTCAAAAATTTTATAGGTTAGAGTTTGTTCATTGGTCACAAATTAAAAATTTAATTAGTCACGGATTAATCTTTAGTCACAACTAATCAAATTATTGGTTACAAATCGAAAATTTTATAGGTCACATATTATTTTTAGGTCACGAATAAAAAAATTTATAAGTCACGAGATAATTTTTGGTCACAGTTATTTAATTAATTAGTCACGAATTAATTTTTAGTCACAAATTATCAAATTATTGATCACAACTTATTTCTTGGTCACAAATCAAAATTTTTATAAATCACGGGATAATTTTTTATTGCAAATTCACAAAATTTATAGGTCACATATTCAAAAATATTATTGATCACAACATATTTACTCATTGCAAATTATTGAATTAATTGGACACGATTATTTTTTTCAATCACAATTTAATCAAAAGTGAGTCACAATTGGAAGTCACAATCACAATTTTCAGGTCACGATTAACTTTTCGATTACAACTTAATCAATTGTGAGTCACAATCAGAGGTCGAAGTCACAATTATCAGGTCACATATCCAATTATTAATAGCAATCACGTAGATAATTGGTCACAACCATTCAAACAGTCACATATCGAAAATCACAATTTGCTTATAGGTCACATATCACTAATATTATAGGTCACAACAGTCACAATTCATTAATTTTTTAGGTCAGACATTATTTTTTAGTCACAATTTATCTTTTTCATTGATCACTCATTATTTATTTCATTTATTGGTCACTCATTAACCAATTCACTTGTCACAATTAACCAAATAATCTGTGACCACCGCTTCCAACAACACTACCACCACCGTGACCACCACCACACTGTTCACAAATTATCCAATAAACAAATTTCAATTGTGAGTAACAGTCAAAGTCACAATTTTGATCGCCATCACCGTCGCCCGTCACACACCAACACAA